AATGTGCAATACTACTAATAATATATAGAATATGCCCTCCTTTCCTTCAGATAATCCATGCGCAGAACATCGGTATCTCCCTGCATTTTGATGGTGGTGACACGACCAGCTCAGTTTGGTCACACTTGCAGTCACATCAATATGGTTACGGCTCGGATAATTTACAGCGGAAACTGTCAGTTCAAGGTACAGCCGGAGTACAGCTCTGTTCTTGGTTACCGTGGAAAAGCGCCATTAGATGTTATCAAAGTCAGTATGAAATCGCAGGGCAGGGGTGCTGTGAAGGGGGTGATAGGGGCCTAAAACATTTTGGAACAATAATTTGAGTTGGGGGCCCAATGTGATAAGCTTTCATGGGGCCCAATGTGATAAGCTTTCATGGGGCCCAATGTGATAAGCTTTCACGGGGCCCACTGTGATAAGCTTTCATGGGGCCCAAAATCTCTAGTGACAGTCTTGTCTCCAAGGCCGTCACCAGGGTTGAAAAAAGACAGAAGCAAGTTTTAAAATCAAACTTTGGAGCATTACAGAAGGTAATTTCATGCTTTGAAGATAGTCGGGCATTTAGTCCATAGCTAGCAGTTAGCAGAAGGTGATGCCTGCTTGGGAAAAAAACATGAACTTTACATCTTTTCCTCATTTTTAGTCATACTAAAGGCAAAGGGAAAGATAAAGATGAGTATGAAATCAGGATATTTCAACAGATACGAATGTTCAATGGTTCCCATGGCAACGCTCACATGCTCTGGACCCTGTATGAAAGATGCTCATTTATTTCATATCTGATGATATACAGATGCTCTGGTAGTCAGGGCTCTGCTAAGTAATCACTGTAAGAGAGCCTTTCTTACATTAGGCCCCCCCCTTACAGTAGAGGCCCCACTCCAGGCTGCTGATCTCATTGGAAAAATAAACAGGTTCCGCCTGGATCGTCCTCGCTTGGCCTCGTCTTCATTTGACACAACAGTGGAAAGTGAGCATTAGCATTAGCATTAGCATTTGGTGCTCATCTCGCCTACAGACAGAGAATTGGGGGGGGGGGGGCAGGGCAGACACTCAGCAAGCTTACGCAAGGCTGCCATTTAAACAGTGATGGGAAAACTGTCACTTCTCTCTGCATCATCATTTTTACATATTTTTTACGCACTGAAAAAGGGGAACGGGCTCTTCAGTCATCTTCAGCTAACTTTATCTTGGAAGTGTTGCAAAATTGCAAGGTGGCGACAACCAGGAGTGACGCACGGCTTGCAGGAATGGGGTGTTCCCCGCTGAGGTTTGCTCCCAGGGAGCGCCAGTAGAGCTGGAAGGGGCGGGTAGAAGCTAGCTGGAGCCGATGGCACCTGAGGCTCCGCCCCACTACCTGGAGCCCCGCCTTCCACCGAGACAGACACATGGAGCCTCTCTTGCCGCGTTATTCCTCGGCAGGGGCCACGCACGGCATCGCGCCCACAGACTCGCCGTGCAACCCTCAGAGGCAGCCTGCCGTACGCCTTGGAAGCTGCGCTGACTTCATGCCTATAAATATATTACATTTCAGCCGCAGCTGTACAGGACGAATGGAACAGGAAGGTCGATTACCCTCCCAAGGCTAAGAAAAGATCCAGGGGCGACTAGACTGCAGCACGGCGATGACTGAGAGCAGCTCCTCCGGATTTATGGCACCGCAATGTGGGCCATTTTTGGTGGGACGGGGGCCGCCCCTGAGGAGTACCCGACCGGCTGACCGCCCCCCCCCCCCCCCCCCCCCTCTCCTTCCACTGAACCTGCCCCGCCCCAAACTTGTCCCATTTTGCTCAAACAGAGCGAACCCATTTCCAAGCTGCTCGTCATGCTCTGTGTCCCACGGAGTCTGACTTTAAAAAAAGTCTCCTCTACAGATCGCAAATCACCCAAGCCTCCAGGGCCCCGCCGAACCTCCTCCCCCCCCCCCGACTGTGTCCTGGGACAAACTCTCACCGTGGGCTCATTGCACAAACACCACTCAAGTCTCCGGGGCCTCTGTCCTGTCCAGCCGCTGGCTGGTGTTGACCACAAACATTAAAATAACGTCCTCTGGATGTTTGCTCAACACTGAAAGGTAATTGGTAGAAGGAGCAGGTCGCCGTGAAGGACAAGAGCCACATATGAAGATTTGAGGTGCGCCTGCTGTCTCGCTGATGATTTTAATTATAAGTGTAATGACACTAAACACTATATACCGCATTTTCAGGGATGCCCGGGGATTCCCTGGGTTCATGTCCCTGGAGGAATGGAGCAGTAATTTACAGTTTTTCTCAGTCGCTTTGGTGCTTTTCTCACATCACTATTAACATTTGCACAGCAGTTAGTGT